TCCCTTGTATAAATTTATTAAGAATTTGTTTTTCCTATTTAGTCAGTTTTGCTTATTTGTCTTTTTCTAGGAGTGTGTCCTTCAAGTCTAAATTACATCATTGTTGGCACAGAGTTGCTCATAGGGTTCCCTTATCTTTTTTTATTTCTGCAAGACCAGTACTAATGGCCTCTCTTTCATTTCTCATTTTAGTAATTTGTGTCTTCTCTCTTTTTTTTCTTAGACATCCTAGGTAAAATTTTATCCATGTTGTTGATCTTTCGAAAGAACTAACTTTTTTCTCTATTCATTTTCCATTCTCTATTTCATTTATTTCTTTCAGCACTTTAAATGTTATGAGAAGTCATTTCATTCTTTTTGAGGGTTTCTTTCACAGTGTGCATTGTTCTCCCTTGCTGCTTTCAATATTCTATTTTCCTTCTAATTTGAAAATTTGACAATGATGCTTTTAAGTGTGGAGTTCTTTGTGTTTATACTACTTAGAGTTCATTGAGCTTCTTGGGTGAGTTGATTGATATTTTTCATCAGGTTGGGAAGGTTTGAGCCATTCTTGCTTCAAATACCTCTGCCCTTTTTCTCCCTCCTCTCCTTCTGGGATTCCATTATGTGTATGCTGGTATACTTACTTGATGGGTATCCCATAGGTCTCTGAGGCTCCATTCATATTTTTCATTCTTTTTTCTTTCTGTTCCACCAGCTAGATAATTTCATTTGATGAATCTTCAAGTCTGCTGATCCTTCCTTCTGAAAGCTCAAATCTGTTGTCGAACCCCTCTATTGATCTTTTAATTTTAGTTACTATCCTTTTCAATTCTGGAATCTCTCTTTTTAAAATTTTGGCAGTTTCTATCTTTTCACTGGTATTCTGTATGTGTTAAGACACCATTGTCCTACTTTCCTCTAATTCTGTAAAGTCTATATACCCTGTAGTAAATGCAGCCACCTAAATCTCTGTTCATTTAGCTTAGTAGTCATCTTATAATTGTTCAGAGATATCCATAAATGCCTTGAACAAATATGCCCCCAACTTTTGCTGATGAGCTAATTCTATGTTGTCATGCTTCTCTTTAATTCTTTAGATATGATTTCGTGTAGTTTTTTGAACCTATTCATAATATTTGATTTAGAATCTTTGTCTATTAAGTCCAGCATTTGAATACCCTGGATATCGATTGCTGCTACCTGCTTTCGTTTTCTGCATATGGCACATACTTTGCCGTTTCTTCGCACATCTTGTAATTTTTGTTAAAAATGAAACATTTTAGATAATATAATATAGCAACTCTAGAAATAAATTTTTCCTCTTCCTTAGGGTCAAATAATAATGGTACCCTGCAAACAAGGCTTTTCTAGGGAGTTGCCAGTCAAATCACATTGTGACAATGCTCTGGGAGTGGGGCTTTGGGAGGAGCTCCTAACCAGTGTGCCCCCTCCAGTGTCTGCAAGGCTGTTGGTTTTCACAGCTACTGTTGTTCAAGGCTATCACAGAGAGAGGAAGATTAAATAAGGATTAATAAGAATTAAAAGGAGGATTAAAACAAGTCAATATAAAAAGCCACAAACTCTGCTTTCCTTACCAAAATTCTCTTGCTTTTCTTGAACAAATGCTACTCTCATTATTGCAAGCATTTGATTTTCAGAGTTTTGAAAAATTTAATTTTGACAATATTTTCTAACATTTCATTGTTGTTATGAAGGCAAAGCTTTATAGGGGTCCTCACTCCCCCATTCTGAAAGTCAACATTGACTCAAATTTCTCTGATTTTTAGCAATACC